GGCCTGGAGAGACTTCTTCATTAACTTTTTTAAAACAAAAACCAACTGAGGCTCTCCCAGACTTTATACTAAGAGTGCAGGCCAGTTTAGATAGAAAAATAACAGATCCTGCAGCCAAAGCAATGCTTTTAAACAGCCTTGTCTGGGAAGGGATGACCCCTGAGCACAGACAAGCATGCCAGAGACTGAAAAATGAACATCATGACAAATGGATTGTGGCCACCCATGACATTGTGACTGCCATGTACCAGGCCTCCTCCCTTGCCCAAGCCCTTGTAGTTGCAACCCAACACAACTCAAAATGCTTTAAATGTGGAGAAACTGAACACTGGAAAGAAAGTTGTGCCCAAAATGACTCAGCTGCCACTCGACCCCCTTAAACCTATCCTGGATGTCCCCCATCCACTCACCCTTAATTCCCCCCAGAGCTTCTTTCTCTGTCATCCTCATGGCTGTCTTTACCCTGCTTAAGGGCAACACTTCAGCCAGCCCCCACTCTCCCTAATACCAAGTTCTAGAGATTTTATTTTTCAGGAAAAAATAAGATCCATGAGACAATCGCTGGCGTGTTCCTACTCAGGTGCATTCTCTAGGTACCCTACAGCTGACTTTTATATCTCTTGACTTCTTGCACCTGCAGCCAAGTCTGTGCTAACTCATAATATTATTCTACAGGAAAAACAAACAGAGGACCAGATAAGATCAACTATGTCCTGGAACAAGCACATTCAGTATGTTGCTAACTTTCTTCCCTTCACCACCTATCCCAATGTCTAACTGCTTTTTTTGTGCATCCAGCAACAGGACCAGTTAATACCATCATTCTCTACCCAGGAACAAAAAAAGATTTCACTGACTCTCATCTAATGGATATCCCCTTATTCAAACAACTGGCTAACTATTCAATTTGCATTTTCAGCAAGTAAGCCTACTCATTACAAATGCCTCACTAACACTACTCTCTCCAATGCAGCATGCATCGCCCCTCCTCTTTTCATATGGTGCAAAGGAAAAGCCCAAAACTGTGTTAATTTCTCTTTGTCCACCTTTTGTGTACCAGTAATGATTACATCCCAGGTATACCTATTCAAAGGAAGAAACTGCCCTCCTCCTACACAGCTGCCAGCAGAGAAAAATCTTCATCCCTCTGCTGGTAGGGATCAAACTTGCACTCTCCCTGGGTGCTGGAGGCGTTGCTACTGTGCCAATTGTGCAGGCCCTACTGTGTTAATTTCTCTTTGTCCACCTTTTGTGTACCAGTAATGATTACATCCCAGGTATACCTATTCAAAGGAAGAAACTGCCCTCCTCCTACACAGCTGCCAGCAGAGAAAAATCTTCATCCCTCTGCTGGTAGGGATCAAACTTGCACTCTCCCTGGGTGCTGGAGGCGTTGCTACTGTGCCAATTGTGCAGGCCCTGCACCTGGCGGGAGATTTCCGAGACAAGCTGGACCAGGCAATGGCATCCACGACTGACAGCCTGGAATCTCTCCAACAACAAATGAACTCTCTTGCCAGGGTTGTGCTCCAAAACAGAAGAGCACTAGACTTAATAACTGCTGAACATGGGGGGACGTGTGTGGTATTGGGAGAGGAATGCTGTTTCTTTGTAAATGAATCAAATGTTGTTGAAACCGATGTTAACACTCTCAAAAAACTTCGTAATGATCTATTTTCAAGATTTCAACCACCGAACAACTAGGTTGGTTTAGTAATCCATTGTTTTCATGGCTCCTACCCTTTGTTAGTCCCCTGGTCATGCTGTGTGTTATTTTGATGCTACATCCATTAAAGTATAACTAAATATTTAGAATATAACCACTGTAGGATTTTGAAATAATAAATAGATGATAGAGTATTTAAGCTACTTGTGCTGGACAGCTTTAGTGTCAACTTGATACACTTGGGTTGAGGGAGCCTCAATTATAGAATTGCCTCCATTGGACAGGACTGTGATCATGTCTGTGTGGCATCTTCTTGATTGTTGAGTGATGTGGGAGGGCCCAGGCCACTGTGGGTGGTGCCACTCCTGGGCAGGTGGGCCTATGTTGCATAAGAAACGAGGCTGAGCATGGGCCAGGGGAGCAAGCCAGTAAGCAGTGTTCCTCCATGGCCTGTGCTCCAGCTCCTGCTTCCTGGTTCTGCCCTGCTGTTGGGGACCCCTGCTGTCTAAGGTAGCAATCTCTACATGTCTGGATAGCCGCAAGCCGGCTTGGCGTTCATATGCGGAGACTCCCTTTCTCAGCTGGGCACCTTCCTACTCTCTTCCTGACTCACCTTTGAAGTGCCCGTCACAGATACATGTCCTCTGGCACAGAAACTGCCAGGTTTTTCCTGTGTGATAATCAGGCACTGTCTAACAGCCTGATAGAAGCCCACCACCATATGTAAAGGGGGCATCCCAGGAGCACCTATCAGCTAAGGCTTTTGCTACTGCCTCCACACTATAAATCTTCTGGTTTCACCCAAATAAAGCGGAGCTGTATCACTGAGTCTGATTGAGCTGTATCCTGTGTCTTGCTGCCTATGATTCAGTCTCCTCAGAGGAGGCTATCCTTCCATCAACAACAACTCGCGAAGATCTTGCTTTTGCCGTTCCTGCACCTCCCCTCGTGATCCGGTGGCCAATGGATTGTGTAGAGAGAGGGAGCACCCGGCAGCTTGGAACGGAACCCGTCCGGCAGCAGACAGCGACCCGCAGAGTCGCCAGCATCCAGTAGCCATGGAGAGCCAGGGACCTGCACAGCAACGCGGGGCACGAAACCCATGCACCCCAGCAACAGGCGGGGACAAAGCCAAGCACTCAGCCATGCACCCCTGGGACACTGGGCTCTGTCTGACATTCCTACCCATGCTTCTAGCCTTCAGAGCTGTGTGGGACATCAGAAGATCCCTGCAGGTATCAGGCAGGGACAAAGCCAAGCACTAAGCCATGCACCCCTGGGACACTGGGCTCTTCCTGACATTCCTACCCATGCTTCTAGCCATCAGAGCTGTGTGGGATTGCAGGGGATCCCTGAAGGGCTAAGTGGAACCGTCTGAACTGGTCTTCCAACACCGTGAATTTCAGGGTGATACCTAGCAGGAACTCTAGCCCTGGCCCATCCTGCCTGCAGATCCTTGGTGCCAGTGACATCCCTGGAGTTTTTTTTTGTGCAATTGTTCCTGGGACCCTGCCTGACTACTACTCCTGGTCCTACCTCCCGCCTCGGGGTGGCCAGGCCTAGGTGCCTCTCTTCTTCTCCTAAAGCTCTCCTGGACCTAGCCACTCAACCAAAAGGAAGTCTGCCAGCATGGTCTTTCCTCTCCTTCCTCCCATCTAGGCACAAGGCCCAACAGGAAATCACATGCCTGGGACCAGGGAAGGGAGACCAGAAAGTCACAGGCACAACAGGAATGCTGATTGGTTGGTGAGACCCCGGGGGAGGAAGGTGGGAGCGACCCCATGGAGCAATCAATGTCACAACGTGCTGGACCTCAGTTACGATGAGAGAGACGGTAAGGAGTTTTCACTCATTTTGTTCAGCTTTTCCAAGGAATGATTGACTTGGAATCATCATCGATCCAGGCACGTTGGGAGAGTATTGTGGGGCCATCGACATGGTCATTGTCCCTGGGGCTCGTGCGTGAGAGCTTGGGCGGGGACCTGCAACACCCACAGCATCCAGGAACTCTCAGGACCAGCATGAGTCCGCTGACTCTGCAGGCACAATGATCGGCCCATCCTGGCCATGACGAGAGGGCTGTGGAGGTGCAGGTGCTCAGGCCTACAACAGATGAGAATATGGCCAGGCACTCAAAGAGCTGAAGACTTACCGTTCTCCTAGGTGACGCTGCGGGTGGTGAGGGATCCTGCAGAAGACTCCTGGAAGCCCGTTCAAGTGTATCCATCCTTCTGCTACGTTACACATTCTCAGGCTGCACCATTGCGGACTGGTCGCCCACGGGAATTGGCCCTGAGGAGGAGACAAAGATCCCACGCGACGCTTTAGAGGGCCAGCAGAGAACAAGGGGTGTGCGGTCGCAGAGCCTCTGCCTAGGTGGGTGGATAGTGCAGCTCTTCCAACTGTGGTTCCATTGCCAGCAAAGGCACCACTGACTGTGTTTTCCCTACGTAAGGAAGAGGGGGGGACAGGGTCCCTGCATGTGCCTTTCCTGTCTCCTTCCCTGGTCTCAGGGCCTGATTAGCCCCCCAGCTTCCTCCTCCAACCCCTATTTGGCAATATACGATAGGGCTAGCTATGGCTAACAGAACGGCCATAAAGGCCCTGTGCTATCGTGCCTTCACCACCAAACCTAGGCAGAACCCAAAAGGATTCCAACCTCAATTGCTCTCCCACAAAGATTATCCAGAGCGCCAGGAACAGCATAGACCACCTGGAGCAGCATCGCTGTCCGCTAGGTATTACTCGTGTCACGGGCCCTCTGCGGTAGCCCTGGACAACCTTTCGCCCTAGGGACCTGCCTAGGGCTCTGGATAGCCTAGAGGCCTCTGGCTCCTGAAAGAGGGGTTGGGTAAGGTAAAGGAGACACCTGGAAACCTAGACAGTCCCGACACTCTCCAGGATTCCAGCATCCAATGCCACCAATGCAACTCTGCCACTGGATACCCCAAACACTATGGGGCACATCAGATTCATTCTCGCCACAGGAAACAACCAGTCAGGGAGACTGAGAACTCTCTCGGCTAAGGAAAACCCTGCTCACCTCTCCTGAGAGACTGCTGTCCTCTACTGGGTGTAACTGTCAACTTTCTCCAAAAGGGTGCATGCTGAGGCTTGCCTGCAGAATTCCAATAACCTAAGAATCACTGTGCTACCAGTCCCAATCTCCAAGGAAGCTTACAGAAGCCAACATTACTACGTGAGGCCCCCAGGGCAAGTGGAAAATAGTGCAAGGCCCGAGATGACAGGCTACGCGGCTGTGTGTGGAGAGAGGCCTGAAGGCCATGCTGAGGAATGTACTCCCTCACTGGGTCAGACAAAAAAATATCCAATAGCACGGGGAAGGAGACTGTTTGGACAAAACCCCTGTAGCTGAAACTTACAGTGACGGCACGAGAGGGAAGTCGTGACTGTGGGGGGACAATGCAGGGGAGCGAGGATAGCTGTAACCACCTGATCCCGGTGGATATGTCACAAATGATCTGACTGTTGAACCAGCTGGCCAAATAAGGGGACCTTCTAGACTGGGAGACCTCCTGGCCTCAGCCTGCCAGACTCCAATGGGAGGTCTCCCCCAAGCTCATGGGATTAACCGGTGGTGGGGTCAGGCACGTCCATGAACACACATCCGTGAACTGTCCACACAAATACCGAGAGGTGTACCCACATGTAGATGGACACTTCAGGCAAGGCTGCAACACCTCGGTCAAGTTTGGACACCTCTAGCATCATGACAATCAGCGTACAGGCGGGGACAAAGCCATGTGCTCAGCCATGAACCCCTGGGACACTGGGCTCTGTCTGACATTCCTACCCATGCTTCTAGCCTTCAGAGCTGTGTGGGACAGCAGGGGATCCCTGCAGGGTGCAGTGGGCCCATCTGAAGTGGTCTACCAACACCGTGAACCTCGGGGTGATGCCTAGCAGCAACCCCAGCCCTGGCGCTTCCTGCCTGCAGATCCTTTGTGCAAGTGACATCCCTGGAGATTTTTCTGTGAAATGGTTCCTGGGACCCTGCCTGACTACTACTCCTGGTCCTACCTCCTTCCTCGGACTGGCCAGGCCTTGGTGCCAATCTACTTCTCCTGAAGCTCTCCTGGCCCTAACCACGCAACCAAAGGAAGCCAGGCAGCGTGGCCCTTCCGATCCTTCCTTCCATCTAGGCGGAAAGGCCAACAGGAAATCATATGCCTGGGCCCAGGGAAGGGAGACCAGAAAGGCACAGCCATGACAGGACCGCTGATTGGTTGCTGAGACCCTGGGGGGGGAAGGTGGGAGCGACCACGTGGAACACTCAATGACATAACGTACTGGACCTCAGTCATGATGAGAGAGATGGAAGGGAGTTTTCACTCATTTTGTTCAGCTTTTCCAAGGAATGATTGACTTGGAATCATCATTGATCCAGGCACGTTAGGAGAGGGCTGCGGGGCCATTGACATGGTCATTTTTCCCGGGGCTCGTACGTGAGAGTGTGGGCAGGGACCTGCAACATTCACAGCATCCAGGAATGCTCAGGACCAGCATGAGTCCGCTGACCCTGCAGACACAATGATCGGCCCATCCCGGCCATGACGAGAGGGCTGTGGAGGTGCAGGTGCTCAGGACTACAACAGATGGGAATATCGCCAGGCACTCAGGGAGCTGAAGACTTACCGTTCTCCTTGGTGACACTGCGGGTGGTGAGGGATCCTGCCGAAGACTCCCAGAAGACCTTTCAAGGGTATCCGTCCTTCCGCTATGTTACACATTCTCTGGCTGCACCATTGTGGACACGTTGCCCACGGGAATTGGTCCTGGGAAGGAGACAAAGATCCCACGCGGCGCTTTAGTGGGTCAGCAGAGAACAAGGGGCTTTCGATCACAGTGCCTCTGCCTAAGTGCATGGATAGTGCAGCTCTTCCAACTGTGGTTCCAATTCTAGCAAAGGCATCTCTGACAGTGTTTTCCTCTAGGTAAGGATGAGGGGGGGCCCTTTCCTGTCTCCTTTCCTGGCCTCAGGGCCTGATTAGCCCCCCCCAGCTTCCTCCTCCAACCCCTACTCGGCAGTATATGATAGGGCAAGGTATGGCTATCAGAACAGCAGCAAAGGCCCTGTGCTATCGCGCCTTCTCCCTCAAACCTAGGAAGAACCCAAAAGGATTCCAACCTCAATTGCTCTCCCACAAAGACTATCCAGAGCGCCAGGAGCAGTAGAGGCCACCCGGAGCAGCATCTCTGTCCCCTAGGTCCTGCTCGTGTCACGGGCCATCTGCGGTAGCCCTGGACAATCTTCCTACCCAGGGAGCTGACAGCGTGTTCTGCCTAGGGTTTTGTATGCCCCAGAGTCCTCTGGCCAATCAAAGAGGGGTTGGGTCTGACAAAGGAGACACCTGGAAACGTAGGCAATCCCGACACTCTCCTGGCTTCCAGCATCCAATGCCACCAATGCAACCCTGCTACTGGATCACACAAGCACTATGATGCACATCACATTCATTCCCACCCAGGAAACAACCAGTCACAGAGACTGAGATCTCCCTCGACTCAGGAAAACCCGGCACACCTCTCCTGTGAGACCTCTGTTCTCTACTGGGTGCAACTGTCAACTTTCTCCAAAAGGGTGCCTGCTCCGGCTCGTCTGCAGAATTCTGATAACCGAAGAATCACAATGCTACCAGCCCCAATCTCCGAAGAGGCTTGCAGCAGCCAACATTACCACGTGTTGCCCCCAGAGCAGTGGACAATGGAGCAAAGCCCGAGGTCACCAGCTACAGAGCTGTGTTTTGGGAGAGCCCTGGAAGGTATGCCAAGGCCTCTACTCCCTAACTGAGTCAGACAAAATAATATCCAATAGTACGGGGAAGGGAACAGTTTGGACAAAACCCCCTGGAGCTAAAACTTACAGTGATGGCAAAAGACGGAAGTCGTGCCTGTGGGGGGACTATGCAGGGGACCGAGGAGAGCTGTCATCACCTGATCCCGGTGTGTATGTCACAAATGATCCAACTGTTGAAACAGCTGGCCAAATAAGGGGACCTTCTAGCCTGGGAGACCTCCTGGCCTCAGCCTGGCAGACTCCAATAGGAGGTCTCCCCCATGCTCATGGGATTATCCGGTGGTGGGGTCAGGCACGTCCATGAACACACGTCCGTGAAATGTCCACACAAATGACGAAAGGCGTACCCACATGGAGATGGACGCTTCAGGCAAGGCTGTGACACCTCGGTCAAGTTTGGACACCTCCATCATCATGACAATCAGCGTACAGGTGGGGGCAAAGCCAAGTGCTCAGCCATGAACCCCTGGGACACTGGGCTCTGTTTGACATTCCTACCTATGCTTCTAGCCTTCAGAGCTGTGTGGGACAGCAGGGGAACTCTTCAGGCCTCATTGGGGCCATCTGAACGGGTCTACCAACAGCAGGAACCTTGGGGTGGTGCCTAGCAGCAACCCCAGCCCTGACCCTTCCTGTCTGCAGATCCTTGGTGCCAGGGACATCCCTGGAGATTTTTCTGTGCAATGGTTCCTGGGATCCCGCCTGACTACTACTCCTAGTCCTACCTCCTTCCTCGGGCTGGCTGGGCCTTGGTGCAACTCTACTTCTCCTGAAGCTCTCCTGACCCTAGCCACTCAACAAAAAGGAAGCCTGCCAGCGTGGCCCTTCCTCGCCTTCCTTCCATCGAGGCGAAAGGCCCAACAGGAAATCATATGCCTGGGCCCAGGGAACGGAGACCAGAAAGGCACAGGCACGACAGGACCGCTGATTGGTTGTTGAGACCCCGGGGGAGTAAGGTGGGAGCGACACCGTGGAGCACTCAATGACACAACATCCTGGACCTCAGTTACGATGAGAGAGACGGCAGGGAGTTTTCACTCATTTTGTTCAGCTTTTCCAAGGAATGATTGACTTGGAATCATCATCGATCCAGGCACGTTAGGAGAGGGCTGCGGGGCCATCTACATGGTCATTTGTCCCTGGGGCTGGTGCGTGAGAGTGTGGGCAGGGACCTGCAACACCCACAGCATACAGGAACGCTCAGGACCAGCATGAGTCCGCTGACCCTGCAGCCACACTGATCGGCCCATCCCAGCCATGACGAGAGGGTTGTGGAGGTGCCGGTGTTCAGGGCTACAACAGATGAGAATATCGCCAGGCACTCAGGGAGCTGAAGACTTACCGTTCTCCGTGATCTTGCGGGTGGTGAGGGATCCTGCCGAAAACTCCTGGAAGACCTTTCAAGGGTATATGTCCTTCCGCTACCTTCCACATTCTCTGGCTGCACCATTGTGGACACGTTGCCCACGGGAATTGGGCCTGAGGAGGAGACAAAGATCCCATGCGGCGCTTTAGTGGTTCAGCAGAGAACAAGGGGCTTGCGATCACAGTGCCTCTGCCTAAGTGCATGGATAGTGCAGCTCTTCCAACTGTGGTTCCAATTCTAGCAAAGGCATCTCTCCAATGCTAGCAAAGGCATCTCTGACCGTGTTTTCCCTAGGTAAGGAGGGGGGGGCGGGTCCCTGCGTGTGCCTTTCCTGTCTCCTTTCCTGGCCTCAGGGCCTGATTAGCCCCCCCCAGCTTCCTCCTCCAACCCCTACTCGGCAGTATATGATAGGGCAAGGTATGGCTATCAGAACAGCAGCAAAGGCCCTGTGCTATCGCGCCTTCTCCCCCAAACCTAGGAAGAACCCAAAAGGATTCCAACCTCAATTGCTCTCCCACAAAGACTATCCAGAGCGCCAGGAGCAGTAGAGGCCACCCGGAGCAGCATCTCTGTCCCCTAGGTCCTGCTTGTGTCACGGGCCATCTGCGGTAGCCCTGGACAATCTTCCTACCCAGGGAGCTGACAGCGTGTTCTGCCTAGGGTTTTGTATGCCCTAGAGTCCTCTGGCCAATGAAAGAGGTGTTGAGTCTGACAAAGGAGACACCTGGAAACGTAGGCACTCCCGACACTTTCCTAGCTTCCAGCATCCAATGCCACCAATGCAACCCTGCCACTGGATCACACAAGCACTATGATGCACATCACATTCATTCCCACCCAGGAAACAACCAGTCACAGAGACTGAGATCTCCCTCGACTCAGGAAAACCCGGCACACCTCTCCTGTGAGACCTCTGTTCTCTACTGGGTGCAACTGTCAACTTTCTCCAAAAGGGTGCCTGCTCCGGCTCCTCTGCAGAATTCTGATAACCGAAGAATCACTGTGCTACCAGCCCCAATCTCAGAGGAGGCTTGCAGCAGCCAACATTACCATGTGTTGCCCCCAGAGCAAGTGGACAATGGAGCAAAGCCCAAGGTCACTGGCTACAGGGCTCTGTTTTGGGAGAGCCCTGCAAGGCATGCCAAGGCCTCTACTACCTAACTGGGTCAGACAAAATAATATCCAAAAGCACGGGGAAGGGGACAGTTTGGACAAAACCCCCTGGAGCTAAAACTTAGAGTAACGGCACGAGAGGGAAGTCGTTCCTGTGGGGGGACAATGCAGGGGAGCAAGGATAGCTGTCACCACCTGATCCCGGTGTGTATATCACAAATGATCCGACTGATGAACCAGCTGGCCAAATAAGGGGAACTTCTAGCCTGGGAGACCTCCTGGCCTCAGCCTGCCAGACTCAAATGGGAGGTCTCCCCCACCCTCATGGGGTTAACCGGTGGTGGGGTCATGCACGTCCATGAACACACATCCGTGAAATGTCCACACAGATGCCGAGAGGCGTACCTACATGTAGATGGACGCTTCAGGCAAGGCTGCGACAACTCGGTCAAGTTTGGACACCTCCATCATCATGACAATCAGCGTACAGGCGGGGAAAAAGCCAAGTGCTCAGCCATGAACCCCTGGGACACTGGGCTCTGTCTGACATTCCTACCCATGCTTCTAGCCTTCAGAGCTGTGTGGGACAGCAGGGGATCCCTGCAGGGCTCAGTGGGGCCGTCTGAACTGGTCTACCAACACCATGAACCTCGGGGTGGTGCCTAGCAGCAACCCCAGCCCTGGCCCTTCCTGCTGGCAGATCCTTGGTGTCAGTGACATCCCTGGAGATTTTTCTGTGCAATGGTTCCTGGGACCCCACCTGACTACTACTCCTAGTCCTACCTCCTTCCTCGGGCTGGCCGGGCCTTGGTGCAACTCTACTTCTACCGAAGCTCTCCTGGCCCTAGCCGCTCAACCAAAAGGAAGCCTGCCAGCGTGGCCCTTCCTCTCCTTCCTTCCATCTAGGCGCAAGGCCCAACAGGAAATCATATGCCTGGGCCCAGGGAACGGAGATCAGAAAGGCACAGGCACGACAGGACCGCTGATTGGTTGTTGAGATCCCGGGGGAGGAAGGTGGGAGTGATCCCGTGGAGCACTCAATGAAAAAACGTGCTGGACCTCAGTTACGATGAGAGAGACGGCAGGGAGTTTTCACTCATTTTGTTCAGCTTTTCCAAGGAATGATTGACTTGGAATCATCATCGATCCAGGCACGTTAGGAGAAGGCTGTGGGGCCATCGACATGGTCATTTGTCCCTGAGGCTGGTGCGTGAGAGTGTGGGCAGGGACCTGCAACACCTACAGCATCCAGGAATGCTCAGGACCAGCATAAGTCCGCTGACCCTGCAGCCACACTGATTGGCCCATCCCAGCCATGACGAGAGGGCTGTGGAGGTGCAGGTGTTCAGGGCTACAACAGATGAGAATATCGCCAGGCACTCAGGGAGCTGAAGACTTACCGTTCTCCTTCGTGAACCTGCAGGTGGTGAGGGATCCTACAGAAGATTCCTGGAAGACCTTTCAAGAGTATACGTCCTTCCGCTACCTTACACATTCTCTGGCTGCACCATTGTGGACACGTTGCCCACGGGAATTGGCCCTGAGGAGGAGACAAAGATCCCACGCGACGCTTTAGCAGGTGAGCAGAGAACAAAGGGCTTGCAATCACAGTGCCTCTGCCTAGGTGCGTGGATAGTGCAGCTCTTCCAACTGTGGTTCCAATTCTAGCAAAGGCATCTCTGACCGTGTTTTCCCTTAGGTAAGGAGGAGGGGGGACCAGGGTCCCTGCGTGTGCCTTTCCTCTCTCCTTTCCTGGCCGCACGGCCTGATTAGCCCCCACCAGCTTCCTCCTCCAACCCCTGCTCGACAGTATACAATAGGGCAAGCTGTGGCTAACAGAACAGCCGCAAAGGCCCTGTACTATTGCGCCTTCTCCCCCAAACCTAGGAAGAACCCAAAAGGATTCCAACCTCAATTGCTCTCCCACAAAGACTATCCAGAGCGCCAGTAGCAGTACAGGCCTCCCTGAGCAGCATCGCTGTCCCCTAGGTTCTAATCATGTCATGGGCCCTCTGTGGTGGCCCTGGACAACCTTCATACCCAGGGAGCTGACAGCGTGTCTTGCCTAGGGCTTTGTATGCCCCAGAGTCCTCTGGCCCATGAAAGAGGGGTTGGGTCTGACAAAGGAGACACCTGGTAACCTAGACACTCCTGACACTCTACAGGCTTGCAGCATCCAGTGCCACCAATGCAACCCTGCCACTGGATCACACAAGTACTATGGTGCACATCATATTCATTCCCACCCAGGGAACAAACAGTCAGGGAGACTGAGATCTCTCTCAGCTCAGGAAAACCCTGCTGCCTTCTCCTGAGAGACCTCTGTCCTCTACTGGGTGCAACTATCAACATTCTCCAAAACGGTGCCTGTTCCGGCTCGTCTCTAGAATTCCAAAACCTAAGAATCACTGCGCTACCATTCCGAATCTCTGAGGAAGCTTACAGCAGCCAATATTAACACGTGTGGTCCCCAGGGCAAGTGGAAAATAACGCAAGGCCTGAGGTCACCAGCTATAGGGCTGTGTGCAGAGAGAGGCCTGGAGCCATGCTGAGGCCTCTACTCCCTCACTGGTTCAGATAAAAAAATACATCCAAGAGTACGAGGAAGTGGACTCTTTGTACAAAAACACCTGTAGCTGAAACTTACATTGTCGGAACGCCAGGGAAGTTATGCCTCAGGGTGGACAATGCAGGGGAGTGAGGATTGCTGTCACCACCTGAGCCTGGTGCTGACGGCACACGTGATCCACATGTTGAACCACCTGGCCAAATAAGGGGACCTTCTAGCCTGGGAGACATCCTGGCCTCAACCTGCCAGACTTCAGTTGGAGGTCGCCCCCGCGCTCATGCGTTTCCCCGGTGGTGGGATCATGCACGTCCGTGAACACACATCTGTCAAATATGCAAACAGATGCCGAGAGGTGTACCCACATGGAGATGGAAGCTTCAGGCACGGCTTCGACACCTTGGTCAAAGATGGACACCTCCATCATCATGACAATCAGTGTATAGGCGGGGACAAAGCCAAGCGCTCAGCCATGCACCCCTGGGACACTGGGCTCTTCCTGACATTCTTACTCATGCTTATAGCCATGAGAGCTGTGTGGGATTACAGGGGATCCCTGCAGGGCTAAGTGGGACCGTCTGAACTGGTCTTCCAACACCGTGAACCTCGGGGTGGTACCTAGCAGGAACTCCAGCCCTGGCCTGTCCTGCCCGAGCCCTGGCCCATCCTGCCTGCAGATCCTTGGTGCCAGTGACATCCCTGGAGTTTTTTTTTGTGCAATTGTTTCTGGGACCCTGCCTGACTACTACTCCTGGTCCTACCTCCCGCCTCGGGGTGGCCAGGCCTAGGTGCCTCTCTTCTTCTCCTAAAGCTCTCCTGGACCTAGCCACTCAACCAAAAGGAAGCCTGCCAGCATGGTCCTTCCTCTCCTTCCTCCCATCTAGGCACAAGGCCCAACAGGAAATCACATGCCTTGGACCAGGGAAGGGAGAACAGAAAGGCACAGGCACGACAGGAATACTGATTGGTTGTTGAGACCCCAGGGGAGGAAGGTGGGAGTGAACCCATGGAGCAATCAATGACACAACGTGCTGGAACTCAGTTACGATGAGAGAGACGGTAAGGAGTTTTCACTCATTTTGTTCAGCTTTTCCAAGGAATGATTGACTTTGAATCTACAGCGATCCAGGTACGTTGGGAGGGAGCCACGGGGCCATCGACGTTGTCATTGGCCCATGGGGCTTGTGCGTGGGATTGTGGGTGGGGAGTAGCAACACCCACAGTATCCAGGAACGCTCGGGACCAGCATGAGTCCTCGGACACTGCAGGCACACTGATCGGCCCATCCTGGCCATGAGGAGAGTGCTGTGGAGGTGCAGGTGCTCAGGGCTACAACAGATTAGAATATCGCCAGGTACTCAGGGAGCTGAAGACTTACTGTTGTCCTAGGTGAGCCTGTGGGTGGTGAGGGACCCTGTAGAAGACTCCCGGAAGCCCTTTCAAGGGTATCCGTCCTTCCGCTAAGTTACACATTCTCTGGCTGCAGCATTGTGGACACGTCACCCACGGGAATAGGCCCTGAGGAGGAGACAAAGACCCCACGTGACGCTTTAGCGGGCGAGCAGAGAAGAACGGGTGTGCGGTTGCAGTGCCTCTGCCTAGGAGGGTGGATAGTGCAGCTCTTCCAACTGTGGTTCCATTGCCAGTAAAGGCATCTCTGACCGTGTTTTCCCCTATGTAACGAATATGGGGGGCCAGCTTCCCTGCGTGTGCCTTTCCTGTCTCCTTCCCTGGTCTAAGGGCCTGATTAGACCCCCAGCTTCCTCCTCCAAACCATAGTCGGCACTATACGATAGGCCGAGCTATGGCTAACAGAACGGCCATAAAGTCCCTGTGCTATGGAGCCTTAGAACAACAAACCTAGGCAGAACCCAAAAGGATTCCAACCTCAATTGCTCTCCCACAAAGATTATCCAGAGCACCAGGAACAGTACAGACCACCCGGAGCAGCATCGCTGTCCCCTAGGTTCTACTCATGTCACAGGCCCTCTGTGGTAGCGCTAGACAACCTTCCTCCCCACGGAGCTGATAGTGTGTCCTGCCTAGGGCTCTGGATGCCCTAGAGGCCTCTGGCTCCTGAAAGAGGGGTTGAGTCAGGCAAAGGAGACACCTGAAAACCTAGACACTCCTGACACTCTCCAGGCTTCTGGCATCCAATGCCGCCAATGCAACCCTGCCACTGGATCCCCAAGCTATATGGTGTACATCAGATTCATTCTCGCCACAGGGAACAACCAGTCAGGGAGACTGAGAACTCTCTTGGCTCAGGAAAACCCTGCCGACCTCTCCTGAGAGACCTCTGCCTCTATTGGGTGCAAGAGTCAACTTTCTCCAAAAGGGTGTCTGCTCAGGCTCACCTGCAGAATTTCGATAACCTGAGAATCAATGTGTTAGCAGTCCCAATCTCCAAGGAACCTTACAGAAGCCAACATTATTACATGTGGCCCCCAGGGCATGTGGAAAATAGTGGAAGGCCCGAGGTGACCGGCTACATGGCTGTGTGTGGAGAGAGGCCTGAAGGGCATGCCGAGGCATCTACTCCCTCACTGGGTCAGACAAAAAAATATCCAGTAGCACGGGGAAGGGGACTGTTTGGATAAAAACCACTGTAGCTGAAACTTACAGTGACAGCATGAGAGGGAATCCATGTCTGTGGGTGGAAAATGCAGGGGAGTGAGTATAGCTGTCAGCACCTGATTCCAGTGCTGACAGCACACATGATCGGCCTGTTGAACCAGCTGGCAAAATAAGGGGGCCTTCTAGCCTGGGAGACCTCCTGATTTCAGCATGCCAGACTACAATGGGAGGTCTCCCTCACGCTCATGGGATTCCCCGGTGGTGGGGTCAGGCACGTCCTTGAACACACATCCGTCAAATGTCCACACAGATGCCGACAGGCGTACCCAGATGTAGATGGACGCTTTGGGCACGGCTGTGACACCTCGGTCAAGGATGGACACCTTCATAATCATGACATTCAGCATAGAGGCGGGGAAAAAGCCAAGCACTCAGCCATGCACCCCTGGAACACTGGGCTCTGTCTGACATTCCTACCATGTTTCTGGCTCTCAGAGCTGTGTGGGACAGCAGGGGAATCCCTGCAGGGATAAGTAGGGCCATCTGAACAGGTCTACTAACACCGTTACATCGGGGTGGTGCCTAGCAGCAATTCCAGCCCTGGCCTTTCTTGCTGCAGATCTTTGGTGCCAGTGACATCCCTGAAGATTTTTCTGTGCAATGGTTCCTGAGACCCCGCCTGACTACTACTCCTGGTCCTACCTCCCGCCTCGGGCTGGCCGGGCCTTGGTCACTCTCTTGTTTTCCAAAAGCTCTACTGGTCCTAGCCGCTCAACCAAAAGGAAGCCTGCCAACATGGCCCTTCCTCTCCTTCCTCCCATCTAGGCACAAGGCCCAACCGCAAATCACATTCCTGGGCCCAGGGAAGGGAGACCAGAAAGGCACAGGCATGACAGGACCGCTGATTGGTTGTTGAGACCCCGGGGGAGGAAGGTAGGAGTGACCCCGTGGAGCACTCAGTGACACAACGTGCTGGACCTCAGTTACGATGAGAGAGACGGTAGGGAGTTGTCACTCATTTTGTTCAGCTTTTCCAAGGAATGATTGACTTGGAATCATCATCGATCCAGGCATGTTGGGAGGGGGCCACGAGTGCCATCCACATGGTCATTGGACCCTGGGGCTCATGTGTGAGAGTGTCGGCGGGGACCTGCATCACCCACAGCACCGAGGAACACTCAGGACCAGCATGAGTCCGCTGACCTTGCAGGCACACTGATCAACCCATCCCGGCCATGACGAGAGGGCTGTGGAGGTGCAGGTGCTCAGGGCTACAACAGAGGAGAATATCGCCAGGCACTCAGGGAGGTGAAGACTTACCGTTCTCCCAGGTGACCCTGCGGGTTGTGAGGGATGCTGCAGAAGACTCCATGAAGCCCGTTCAAGGCTATCCGTCCTTCCGAACGTTACACATTCTCTGGATGCAGCACTGTGGACACGTCGCCCACGGGAATTGGCACTGAGGCGGCGACAAAGATCCCATGTGGCACTTTAGCGGGTGAGATTACAAGGGGCTTGAGATCTCCTTGCCTCTGCCTAGGTGCGTGGATAGTGCAGCACTTCCAACTGTGGTTCCAATGCTAGCAAAGGCATCTCTTACCATGTTTTCCCCTAGGTAAGGAGGAGGAGTAGCAGGGTCCCTGTGTGTGCCTTTCCTGTCTCCTTTCCTAGCCTCAGGGCCGGATTAGCTCCCCCCAGCTTCCTCCTCCAACCCCTACTCGCCAGTACGCGATAGGGCAAGCTATGACTAACAGAACGGCCGCAAAGGCCCTGTGCTATTGCGCCTTCTCCCCGAAACATAGGAAGAACCCAAAAGGAAACCAACCTCAATTGCTCTCCCACAAAGACTATCCAGAGTGCCAGGAGCAGTACAGACCACCCGGAGCAGCATTGCTGTTCCCTAGGTTCTGCTCATGTCATGGGCCCTCTGCAGTAGCCCTGGACAGCCTTCCTCCCCAGAGAGATGACAGCGTGTCCTGCCTAGGGCTTTGTATATGCCAGAGTCCTCTGGCCCATGAAAGAGGGGTCGGGTCAGACAAAGGAGACACCTCAAACCTAGACACTCCCGACACTCTCCAGGCTTCCAGCATCCAATGCCACCAATGCAACCCTGCCACTGAATCACACAAGCACTATGATGCACATCAGATTCATTCCCACCCAGGGAACAGCCAGTCACAGAGACTGAGATCTCCTTCGGATAAGGAAAACCCTGATGATGTCTCCTGAGAGACCTCTGTCCTCTACTGGGTGCAACTGTCAACTTTCTCCAAAAGGGTGCCTGCTCCGGCTGGTCTGCAGAATTCTGATAACCTAAGAATCACTCACTGTGTTACCAGCCCCAATCTCCAAGGAAGCTTGCAGCAGCCAACATTACCACGTGTTGCCCCCAGAGCAAGTGGACAATGGAGCAAAGCCCGAGGTCACCAGCTACAGGGCTGTGTTTTGGGAGAGCCCTGGAAGGCTTGCCGCGGCCTCTACTCCCTAACTGGGTTGGACAAAATAATATTCAATAGCATGGGGAAGGGGACAGTTTGGACAAAACCGCCTGGAGCTAAAACTTACAGTGACGGCATGAGAGGGAAGTCATGCCTGTGGGGGGACAATGCAGGGGAGCAAGGATAACTGTCACCACCTGATACGGTGCGATGTCACAAATGATCCACCTGTTATTTCAGCTGGCCAAATAAGGGGACCTTCTAGCCTGGGAGACCTCCTGGCCTCAGCTTGCCATACTCCAATGGGAGGTCTCCCCCATGCTCATGGGAAAAACCTGTGGTCGGGTCAGGCAAGTCCATGAACACACATCCGTGAAAGGTCCACACGAATGCTGAGAGGCATACCCACATGTAGATGGACAATTCAGGCAAGGCTGTGACACCTCGGTCAAGATTGGACACCTCCATCATCATGACAATCAGCGTACAGGTGGGGACAAAGCCAAGCGCTCAGCCTTGAACCCATGGGACACTGGGCTCTGTCTGATATTCCTACCCATGCTTCTAGCCTTCAGAGCTGTGTGGGACAGCAGGGGATCCCTGCAGGTCTCAGGGGTCCGTCTGAAGTGGTCTACCAACACCGTGAACCTCAGGGTAGTGCCTAGCAGCAACCCCAGCCCTGGCGCTTCCTGCCTGCAGATCCTTGGTGCCAGTGACATCCCTGGAGATTTTTCTGTGCAATGGTTCCTGGGACCCTGCCTGACTACTACTCCTGGTCCTACCCCCCAACTCGGGCTGGGGTCCTTTGGTGCCACTCTACTTCTCCTGAAGCTCTTCTTGCCCTAGAAGCTCAACCAAAAGGAAGCTTGCAAGCGTGGCCCTTCCTCTCCTTCTTTCCTTGTAGGCGCAAGGCCCAACAGGAAATCATAAGCCTGGGCCCAGGGAAGGGAGAACAAAAAGGCACAGCCACGACAGGACCCCGGGGGAGGAAGGTGGGAACAACCACGTGAAGCACTCAATGACACCACGTGCTGGACCTCAGTTACGATGAGAGAGATGCTAGGGAGTTTTCACTCATTTTGTTCAGCTTTTCCAAGGAATGATTGACTTGGAATCATCATCGATCCAGGAATGTTACCAGAGGGCTGCGTGGCCATTGACATGGTCATTTGTCCCTGGGGCTCGTGCGTGAGAGTGTGGGTGGGGACCTGCAACACCCACAGCATCCAGGAATGCTCAGGACCAGCATGAGTCTGCTGACTCTGCAGGCACACTGATCGGCCCATCCCGGCCATGACGAGAGGGCTGTGGAGGTGCAGGTGCTCAGGCCTACAACAGATGAGAATATCGCCAAGCACTCAGGGAGCTGAAGACTTACCGTTCTCTTTGTTAACCCTGCGGGCAGTGAGGGATCATGCAGAAGACTCCTGGGATCCGTTTCATGGGTATCCGTCCTTCCGCTATGTTACACATTCTTTGGCTGCACCATTGCGGACACGTTGC